GGATTTACATAGGTAAAATGAGTTTTTGGTGGTAAGAAATAAGAATCAAAAGAACGGTAGTGGAAGGAAATTAATCATGGAATTGGTGTCCTGCCAATTGAGAAGAAAATAGAGCATTGAATCCGATGCATGTCAGAGCAACAGAGATGATATAAAAGTTCCATAAGAGAGGTAGAGGAATCTCTAGAGAAGGCAAAAGAAAGTTTCTAGTTTTGTTGTTATTAGGTGCAGTCATATGGATCGGGAAGACAAAGACAAATCCGTGATCACCGACAGCAAGAATCAACCAGCACGGTTTTCTCCCATATATGTCTTCTCTATCTTGTAATGTGTTAATTGGAAAACTACCAAGTTTAATTTTTTCAAGAATTCTCGATCCTAATTGTTTAATCCAATTTTCTTACCCTCTACTTATGAAACATGACAAAATGGAAAGCATCATTTTCTTTTCCTTGTGTTTTGTAAGAAATTAAAAACATCTGTTTTTTTTTTTTTCTACCAATGTCCTAGCTAGCTAGAAGATGAATTCCATCACACATGACACATCACATTATGTATGTCAACTTAATTATCTATGCTCATCCATAGACGACCATGGTCTGATCTGAAGACTTAAGGGGTTTTGCCATATGCTCTCTACATATATCTTATACTCCTTATTGCTATATATTGAAACTTGTTTTACTATTCCTCCAAGGAAAAATAAATGAGGAATTATTATCAATATATATATATCCACAAAATCTTGATGAGTGTTAATATATATGTTTTTTTTTCATTCTTAGTTAATTAGCTGTGATTAAATTGTTCTTGGTTTTCTTTCCTAAAAGCGCTCATCATGGAGGAAACTGTGAAGACAATGAATCTATTAAATAAGATAGGGGAGGAGGAAGATGGCGATGATGATGAAAGTAAGACGAGAAACAGCACTGCCAGTTTGAGCAACAGCGTGGTTGAGGAAGGGGAGAAGCATGCGGTTGCAGGTTCTCCTTCAAGCTACAGAGTGAGGCCATATGTGCGGTCAAGGGTGCCTAGGCTGCGATGGACACAGGAACTTCATCATTCTTTTGTTCGAGCTGTGGAGAGTCTTGGAGGTCAAGAAAGTAAGACAATCATTTTTCTTCTTGCAATAGAAAATTATTCAGTTGAAAATAATAAATGTGCTTCTCAAAGATGGGATTTTCATGAAGAAAATTACTGTATACTTTTCCTTCAATATTTTGATGTAAATATGTCATGCATTTATTAATTAGGAGCAACACCCAAGCTGGTATTGCAATTGATGAAGGTCAAGGGCCTTAGCATTGCGCATGTCAAAAGCCATCTGCAGGTAATTAATATAATTAAATTGGTTATTCCTTAAAGTTCCTAGGAGCATATATATATATATATATATATATATATATATAGGAAACAATATACACAATATACAGATCAGAGTTCAGGGTACTGATAATTTAATTTTCTGAATTGGAAACAATAACAGATGTACAGAAGCAAGAAGATTGATGAGCATGGTCAAGGTAAATTGTCCCAATGTTAATAATTTTTCTAAAGTTTAGAAGTTAGGGTTTTTATAGATAATACTCATGATTTTGAAGCAGAGAAGTTGCATTTTAACTGAACATCAAAAAACAAGAAGTTGCATTTTAATTTCCTGATATAACAGTTTTAAACAATGAGCAATTTTCTGGGAACTGCAGATCACTTTCCCCACAGTATTCTTTGGAAATGCTCAATGCTCCATTGCCCCAATCAAAGGCTGTGTTCCAACTTCAGGTATATATTTAATTTGTCAAAATCCTTCTTTGCTAACTCAAAAATTATTTTGATTAATTATATATATACACGTATTAACTTCTCTTCTTTTCTTCCTCTATTCAGATATGATGATGTTTCTTGCCGTGACCATGGAAACTGGAAGATGCAGAGACCTTATTTGGTTGATTCAATGAATACCAGAGGTTTTTATCAGTCCTTATTATCTGATCACATAAACACAAGGGATGAATCTAATTTCGACCACACGAATACCAACTTCATCTTCCATCAACAAAGTTTGGAAAAAGTAGAAAAAACACAAGAAGGATTTGCATTAGGAGCTGAAACAGATATGGATCCTTCTTCTGCAACAAAGTGTTTCATTAATAACGCTATTGATGAAGCAGAGGAGCAAAGAATGATTAAGAGAAGAGCTGTAGAAGAGGAAGTCGATTTAAGCCTCTCATTGAGTACAAGAATGAGATCAGAAAAGGTTAGGAGAAATTATTCTCAAGAGGAAGAAATAGTTTACAGCGATTTATCGCTCTCTTTATCTTCTCCATTGAAGGGTGAAATGTGTTGTAAGAATAAAAACTACTTAGCCTCGAAGCTGCGAAAGATATCCTAAATACTTGGTGAGTACCCTTGATCTGACTCTATGAATTTGACAGAATTCTAGTGAGATCATGTTGGTACTTGCACAAGAGGATATTAGAGTGGCTAATCGGAGGAAATGTTGAGAACTCAAGAGTAGCAGTCAATATTTATTTATGTCTAAGTAATTTCTATTTCAAAGGCATTATTTCCCATTTCAATTTCCTTGGCTAGTTTTCTTCTTGTTTTCATTAAATTTCTTCTCCATATATCTTCTCTAGTTTGAACACATAAGAGTTGGAATTATTATTATTATTTTTTGAAACATAAGCCTTTATTTGGATTGGCGGAGTTGAGAGTAGAGGAGAGGAGAGTGAAGGAGATGTCTTTATTTTATACCGTTTCGATAACATCATTAACGGATGGAGAATGAGAGTGAGGTAGATGAAGGGGCACTAGACTCCATCCAAATCCCTTATAATTTTTAAGGATAAT